TTTTTTTTTTTTTTTTTACTTTTTTTTGGGTTCAATATACTTTAAGTTGCTACAGAAATTTATAGGTTCAAGAGTGCCGTGAGATATAAAAGGTTGAGAAACACTGCCCTAAGAGGTTGGTGCTATGATTTCCCCCATTTGGCAGATGAGGAAATTGGGGCACAGAGAGATTAAACAGCTTTCACAAGACCCAGAGTGAAAGGCAGTAAATAGGACTTGAGCTCAGCCCTCAGCTGCAGAGCTCATGCAAGTGACTGCCATCCTCTGCCAGCTGTGAGTGCACCTTGGGTGCCACCCCAAGTCCGCAGGGAGGAGTGTATTATGTGATAAATGGTGCTGGGGAAGTCGACCCTATGTATGAAAGTACACAGCAGATGAATGAAGGCCTCGACTTAAAAGCAAAATTATACAAGTATTAGACAAAAATATAGGGGAAGTATTTGGGTAACCAGAGGGTGGGGGGGACTTTCTCAAGCAAAGCAGGAAACTCAAAGGTTGAAAAGGAAAAATAATGCATTGAGTTAAGAAACAGAAGAATTAAAATCTCCTGTGGCAAAAGTAACAGAAGACCAATGATAAATGCTACACATGTAACAAAGGGAAAGTATCCTGATACAGAAATAGCTCTCGTGGACTGATAATTAAAAGAGCCTGCAGAAAAATAAAGCATGTAATAGGCGACTGTTGAAGGGCCAATGCAGTGAGGCTTAACTAATTCACCAGCGGCCAGGGGATGTGGGCTAAAATAACCATGGGGTCTTACTTTGGGATTTTTTTCTTTTTTTGAGAAAAGAAAACTCACTTTGTTGCCCTCAGCACATTGTCATGGCACCATAGCTCACAGCAACCTCAAACTCTTGGGCTCAAATGATCTTCTTGCCTCAGCCTCCAAAGTAGCTGGGCCTACAGGCACCCACCAAATGCCTCTCTGCTTTTAGTGACTAGGTCTTGCTCTTGCTCAGAGCTGGCCTTAAACTTAATGAGCTCAAGCAATCCACCAACCTCAGCCTCTCAGAGTGCCGGGATTACAGGCGTGAACCACTGCGCCCAGCCTTTTAAGGATTTTTAGATTGCCAAACATTTAAAAGATCAAGTTTATCAGATATTGGTGAAGGTATGAATAAAAGTATTTTTTCATATATAATTGGTGGGACTGAAAATTACTTACAATTTTGTGAAAGGATTTTTGCCAGTATTACTTAAAATGAAAAATGCTGATTGGGTCCCGCTATCTGAGCTCTGGGACTGGATCTGCCTACTTAAGGTACCACCACATCAAGATGTTTGTATAAGGGTTGCTTCTGGCAGCCCGGTTAGTACAGTTAATGGCCCAAACAGGCATATGAATGGGAGACCAGCCTAATGTCTGTCAAGAGGGGAATTGTTGCTTAAGTTATGGTATGTCCACATAAAGCAAGATGTGTAGCAATTTAAGAACAGGGAAATGATGAGATACTCTTTTAGACACATGAGATTAACAGGAATGAAAATGTCTCAAGATGTGAAGTGTGTTGATGATGTAGGGAAACAGCAGCTCTCAGAGACAGCTAGAGTGTAAAGTGGCAGAACCCTTTTGGAAAACTTACAAATACACACCTACTTCTAGAAATATTTCCTTCAGTAATTATTCCACGACACCACAGAGGGAGGTGGGAGAAAGCGCACTGCAGCTTGGTTTGTAACAGCTAGAAATGAAAGCCAGCCTGCCCGCCCACCAGCACAGTGCATGAGCATGGCGGGTTATTCAGACAATGGTGTGCTACCCAGAAGTTAAGTGCATGACCATATCTATTTGTGTCAACTGGATTCTCTTCCAAACATAATGATGAGTTGGCCGGGTGCCGTGGCTCATGCCTGTAATCCTACCACTCTAGGAGGCCAAGGTGGGTAGATTGCATCAGCTTTCGGGTTCGAGACCAGCTTGAGCAAGAGCAAGACCCCGTCTCTAAAAATAGCTGGGCATTGTGGCGGGTGCCTGTAGTCCCAGCTGCTTGGAGGCTAAGGCAAAAGAATAGGTTGAGCCCA